TTTTGTTAAGCTTATAAATTTCTACCTCCATTGGTTTGACACCAAGATATTTGTTTTTCAATTAGAATTAAAAAAGTAATGACAATTTAAGTAAGAAAAAACATAATTTTGACCACAGTTTCTTCAACAATTTCATATATCGAAAAATCGGTACTTAAACTGTCATAACTTTTGAACCAATTGTTCGATTTTCAAATTTTTTCACCTTTGAAATACTGTAATAATCCTCTTTCCAATGATATATAACAGTAGAATATTTAAACAAATTAAAATTTTTACTTACATACCTCAGGCCTTGCGATGAATAAGAACTGCGTGACGCATAAGCACGACGTGATTTTTGACGTCATTAAATTCTTTTTATTTGCTTTTCATATTTATCGACCAATTTACTTAACACCAATTTACTTAATTAACGCAAAACTTCTTTAAATCATTAATGTAGAAAAATGTTATCATTTAAAAATGTTTTTGAATTGTTTAATTTTTTAATGTAAAAACATTTGTTTATTTTCTCGACGTTTGACACGTTTTGTCTATACCATGGCCTACTTTATAGAAGGCCTCGACACCGTGCGGGAATTTTTTTGACTGAAGGACGATTTAAAAATAAAATGGCGGTTTATTAAAAGAGAAAAATGCTGTACAGCTTTGCTAACACTAATTATTTAATAACTAATTATTCTATTTGAAAAAATTTTAGATGCATTTTTATAAAATGAGTTTCTTGACGTTAATTTGACAACTATTTTATAAGCTTAAATAGTTTGTAAAATTGAATAGAAACATTTTGAATCAAGTTTTTGAATATACAAGAAATAATAAATAATTAGAAAAATACACCAATAACAAATCTAATTTTTTTTGTACTAAATCTTCCCAAAAAAAAAATTACATAAGCTTGATTTCTTTTAGTTTTGCTTCTTTATTACTTTTGGGAGTGTGAAGTAATGCAAATTTCTTTTAAAAAATGTTTGCTAGTGTTTGGCATTGTTTCTTTGCAATAGAAAAACTATACAACTCTGCAATAAAAGCAAACTGTCGTATCAGAAATGTTCTGCAAACTTTTTTATCTAATAAAGAAAAATAAATAAAGACCACTGAGATAGAGTATCAGATGGAATAGTTAATCCTCCCTATTTAAAGTATTCAAATAAGTTCCATATTTTTCATAATATGTAGTTGTATCTTCACCAATTTCTTCAGTAGAACACTTTTGAACATAACCAGCAATATAGACAATAGCATAAAAAATTCTATACTTATACTATCTTCTAGATCTTGTAAATTGTAAATTATATCATTTTCCATATCATCTAAATCTTTAAGACATAAAAGACAGTCATGGCCATCATTTCCTTCTACTTCCATATTCAGATGTAGCACCAGCTTAGCATGTTGAATACGTACTTTTTCGATAACTGATTTAGCAGTTATAAAGTAAGTACCACCAAAACCTTGCCGTAGTTTTCCGAAACATTTCTCAATTGGATCACTAGAAAACCAACCTAAAATAACATACTCATTTCCACTTGATAAAAGATGACGAGACAAATCAATTAGTCCACGACAAGTGTGTGAAAGTGCATTGCTTGTATCTCTCGTAAGCTGGCGAATTTGTTTACCAGATGTTGGTTTCATATATTCTGCCATTGTTGCAATAGCAAGTAACTTTTTTAAATTAATGTCATCTAAAGATCTGATTACATTACGTGACTCATCCCTAAATCTAGCATTGGCACCTGGGCATTTAACATTCACTATTTTCCAAAATTCTATAATCAACTCCAAAAAATAATAGTACCCTTGACACTTTCTTGGTCTATTTTAGGATGAGTTTTTAGAGCTGCAACTGTCTCTTCACTAAATACTTGTAAACAAGTGCTTACTTTTTGCTGTTCTATTGGTTTAGGATTTATTGATGTTTCAGTCAATCTGGAAAACTTTGTTAATTGGTTTTTTTCAAGTGTATATAAGTTAACTAAATCTCTCCAATTTGCAATGTAAGTTATCTCATTTTGAGTAAACTGTAACTGACCTAGTTTTTCTGTCAGCCAATTGTTTCTTATGCACTTTAAAAGATGGACATAGTCATATAAAATATAAGAGCCATTTTGACATAACCAAGGTTTTCCGTCTACGGTTTTGAATTTAGAAAAAAAAGCTTTGATTAACTTTATTTCCATCTGTAATAATCTTAAGCTTTGATTAACTTTATTTCCATCAATAACTTTACCATTACTCATAGAACTTTCTATGGTGTCTACAATTAATTTGCACTGTTCTTGTTGGAAATCTGATGTCAGATTACTAACTCTTGGTAAAACTCTTGCTAGAAATTCAGGTCCACCATAAAGGCTTTTTACCATGAATGAAAGTACAGTAGTAGCTAATTTCTCTGGATTATTAACAGCTTTTCCAAAAATACTTCCACTTTGATATAATAATGCTGCTTTTACATAAACTTCATCTAAATAAAAGTAAAACACAATTTCTTTTTTTTTCATCAAGGTTCGATAACACAGAACTTAAAAAAGTTAAATCATCTTGAGAGTTTATTTTTGAAGTTATGCGTGTCAAAGTTCGAATACTTGGCAACTGATAATCATAACATAATCAATGGTAAGTGGAACGACTTGTTGCAAAATATTCAAAAGCTCTGGTTATTATATCTGGAGAATACACAGCACAGCCAACAGTATGATCTCCCATTACATTTAAATGCTCAAACATTACTTGAGTTTTATGATCCTTATCTTCAACTTTCAGATTATTAAGGGCTTCATTTAAAGATGACTTTGTACAAAGGGAAGTGATTCAGTTATTTGACAGAGATTTAATAGTACATTTTGAACTAAAATGAAATGCTTCAAACGACAAACTTTGATTAATTATTAGAAAAATAGTGGAACACCACAATTAAATATTTTAGATTGGATGAAAATTGAATTATTTTGCTTGTATGAAATCAAATCATTATAAGTTGATATGTGTTTTTCGATTTCTTCAAAATTTAAATTATCAATTATTTTATATTCTTCTAATTCATCTTTTCTGATACCTCTTTTTGAAGAAGAAGATAAAGTCTTTCTCGTTTTAGGTGGTGGAGAAGATAGACAATTTTTAGATATATTTGGAAACACTCATGGGTCTCAATTTACCACGACATAATTTAAACTCTGCATTATCTGGCCAATGCAATTTACAAACAACGGTGTATTTTGTTACGGTCCAATTTAAACGAGGGATGCTCATAAACCATTTAGTTTTTCCACATACTTCACGAGGGAATTTATACACAGATACATTACAAGCTGAAAACTTATAATTTGAAGAACAGTTTTGAACACAACATTTTAAAGGCATTCTAAATAATTTAAATTAAATTTACTTGAAGAATAGCTGTAAATTTTTCTGAAAAAACGTAACTAATATTTTATTCCTTTTCCAACCAAAAAATGCGTTTGTTTGTTAGTTTTAAATCGAAAAAATTCCCGCACGGTGTCGAGGCCTTCTATAAAGTAGGCCATGGTCTATACTAAAGGAATAAAAAACATAAGTTTTTCAAATAATTATTTTTTCTTTTTAAGTCAGAGAGTAATAAACTGGAAATTTTTATAATGTACGATTAAAAACTGTGCAATAGCTAATATTTTTACTAGCGATTTTATATAATATTTTTTTATTTATTTATTTTTATTTATTTTCATAAAGCGGAAGATAAGCACAATCACTCGTATTATTAAAAAACTTTAACGAACGTTTTGAATAGATTTTTAATGTTTACAAGGAATTTTATTTTTGGTAAATAAAATAAAATGTTAGAATGAAAATCTTTTAGGTATAAAAAAAATATTTCAGCGAAAAAATTATTCCTAAAAATTATTATCAAAAATTATTCGAAAAACTATTGACGTTCTATTTTTCAGCAGCTGTTCTTGAGCACGCTTCGTTGAGTTTCGATAACTTTTAACAAAAATGCGATTGTTATTATTTAAGTAATTTTTTTCGAGTAACTTTTTACAAAAATTTTAATAACTGTACTTTTTTATTGAATCAAGTAGAATACGTTTTAATATTAATCTTTTTATTTTTTTTATTTGCGCTTACCAATTTTTAAAATGTTTCCTCGAAATTACTCTTAAATACTTTAAATTCGTCTAACAGTTAATATTTTTAAATCTATGGAATAATTTTAAAACCTAACAAACCCCTGTAAAATAATTATTTAAGTTAAAAATCTAAAACTAAAAGAAAGTATTTTTGTTCAATTTTATCGACAACTTTGCTATTGCTGATTAATTTTATTAAAATGCTAGCTTAAAAAGATTTAAACTTTTTTTTAATCTGAATTTTTTCTACTTGTAACTAATGAGCATATTTATTTTTTTTGTAGTTCTAACATTAGGATAAACTGCGAGCGGTTTTTAAAATGCTTTATTAAATGTTAAAATAATCGTAAATTACTTCATTAAAATTCCGCTCAAAAATATCCTTAAATATACTCAAACAAAAATTTTTTTGCTCGACGCAAATAGCCCTAGCTACACGCAAAATCGCCCTTGGACGACGTAAAATTCACATCGCCCGACGCTTTATCGCAAGGCCTGATACCTAAAATTATGTCAAACAAGCAATTCAAGATATCTTTATAATTACATTGATATAACTCCGGCAAAACTCTTATGACCTTAATAAAATTTTGCTATTATTCACGAATTCATTTTTTGCATAAATTAAACACCAATAAAAACAAGAATTGATTGATATTTTATACATATAGATATAAAAATATATTAAAATATGTATCGAAAAAAATATTTTTATAGTTTTTTTTATCAGTGTCAAGAAAATTTATTCATACAAATGTTTACGTTTACAAAAATGTATTATTAACAAATAATAAATATATGCAAACATACATATATAAAAATGTATAATACAAAAATAAGCATTTACTAAATGTTTAAGTTTTTATATGAAAATGTGTTTTTAGAATTTAAGAAATTTCATTACAATGCCAGATTATGTTATTGTTTATTTTGAAGATGAATAAGATAATTTTCTGGAAGTAATTCCTGAATCTTGGTTACAGGAAGAGAACAAGTTTGGATACTGGCCAACTTTTAGATCAACAGGACAAATAAACAATTCAATCAAAGATGCAATGCAACCAGTTGTACAAATGTAGAAATTGTTGTTTGCAAGTGGTCTAGCAATATGATAATAATAAAATACAATAATTATTATTAAAAAACAAAAATGGTTAAAGTATATTGATGCACTGTATATATTGAATGTATAGAGAATAGAGAATATATAGATACTGTATACATTTAATGTATTAATGTCATTAAATATGTATAATTAACATAAAAAATCTAAATATGATGAATCTGGTACAAATGTCTAAATTTATTGCTTGACCTCCTACAATTAGTTCCTGACAGTCAATGTTGGATAGCAAAACTTATATAATTATTTTAATTGATTGCATTATTCAAGTAATACACTTTCTTTTTTTTACTGTTTAGGTACTTTTAGAAGTGGCTTGAAAAAATACAAAAACTTCAGTGTCAATCAAACTTTGATTCCGGTATAGAGAAAATAAATCAAAAGCAAAGAGACAGCATTATAATAATATTGAAAACATTGATTACCTCTCAATATTGTCTCAAGAGTAATATGATAAGCAAAGATTGTGCTTAGTTCCTCCTTCTTCAAAATTCTTTTCCCAGGAAAATATGCATGGTAGAGCGGTAATAGCATTATAAATAAATTTTATTATCTTTTGTGATTTTGTCTTGTGCGTTGTTGATGATTTGCTATTTTTATTTGTTATAGAAAACAAGTCTGGAACAAGCATGACCCATGGCAAGTTTAAAAACAGCAAAATTTATTGCATCAAAAATACAACTGACAAATTAAAACATGAAACTTAGGAACATTAATTTTGGGTTCAGGTATGTAAATTAAAATAAAATAATCTGTTTTTTTGCTTTGTTTATAATTTTAAAGACCTAGTTTATTTTTATGCTGTTGTAATGGCTCTAAATAGCAAACTAGAAATAATTTTATTTATATAAAAAAAATTTACTCTTAATTAGACAGCTGTTTTGGTAAAATAATAACCTAAATATATCTTTATAAATTCTATTGATCAGCCTTAACATTTGAGCTGGAGCAAGCATTTGATTAATTGCAACAGAAAATGTCTATGCAAGATTTTGCAAGATAAAAGTACTATTTTTTGATTGTTATTTTAAAATTTCTTAAATATCTTCATTTTACTTTAAGTTAGTATTGTGACCAACAGAATATCAATTTGTTTATGCCAAGAATATCACCAGGTTTATCAACGTAAATATATCTCAACGTAAATTAAGGTATTATTATGTTTTAATTCAATTATAAAATAACACAATTTACTTATGCATGTTTCATTATGGTACCGTACTGAACATCTAATGAAACATGCATAAGTTTTAAATTATAGTTAATTTATAACTAAATATTTATAATTATTAAAGTATAAAGTATATTAAGTTATAACCTTATATAAGGTTATTATAATACTAAAAGTTATAACCTTATGTAAAGTTATTATAATATTAAAAGTAATAACCTTACGTAAGGTTTTAACTTTTAGGTAACCCAAGTTGGCTATATGAAAAATAGATAAACTTTGGTTTAAAAGTAACTAGAATGTAATAGATTTTATTTGTTATCTTTTTAATGGTCGCCCAACCAACTACTTTCAAACTATAGTTTATCTAATTTTTATTGGGCGACTAGTGTTACTGAAATGTTATAACTCAATGTTCATTATTTAATAATATTTAAATGTATTTTTTTAAAGGTGAAGTGAAGCATAATCTGTATACATAGGATGCTTCAAAAACGGAAGTAAACGATCACATGAAGTCGTGAATTAGTAAATCGTGCGACCAAAAAGTCAGATGGTGCGAGGATTGATTCAGCATGCCATTCGGAACTTTGGGACAAAGACGGTGAGAATGCAAAATGCGACAATAATGTCTACATTTGAGTACAACGGTTTTAATATTATTTGATATACATTTCATTTTATTAAATATGTTTTATTTTACAACAAAGGAGTTTTGATACCTTAAAAATAAGTTTACCTTAATTGAAATCACAAACACATTTGATTGCAATACCTTTTGAAAGGTGGGTAATACATTTTAGGATCAAGTCAGTTTGCATTTGAATAAAACAATTTAAATGGCTTTAACCAAATGCCGATTGCATTTGCAAACATTTTAATATATTAAAGAATATCAAATATAAGTAATTTTATGATAACAATGGCCTAACTAACTGCGTGCTAGGTACAAGTAGTGTTTATAATTCACTGAACCTAATAAAATATATTGTCGGATAAATGCTAGCTAAACTACATTTGTCCAATGCCAATGGGCCAATGTAGGTCCGGCGGTCATCACGGAATTGGCCCAACGTTGGATTCCGCCGCTGTTTATAAGTTGGTTATTTCAAACATTTAAAAACCTTCCTACGCCACTGAGGGTGTTCAATATATTTTAAACTATCTTTGTTAATGTCACCGATGCAGAATAATCTTTTTTGTTCATTAATATTTTTTATAAAAATTTGTTGCAGATATTTAAAAAATTGAATAATATCGCCGTGAGGTGGTCTATAACAAGTAGGAGCTAAAATTTTTTTTTGTATTTTTAATTATTATCTCAATTGTTAGGATCTCACTGTCTCAATTAGAGATCGAAAGGTCTTTTCTAATTTTGATATTGTGATCATTACGAATGTAAACTAAAATTCCACCTACCCTTTTGAGTGTTTTTCTCTCAGATGAAATAATTTTATAATTAGGAATTGATTTTTTTTGAGCTGGCTCATCATCACACCATGATTCTGTAAGACAAATCATGTTAATAAAAAATTGCATTCTAAAAGAAAGTGTTTTAGTTTGTCTATATTTAAATTTAAACTTCTGATATTGATGTGTATCATCATGAATTTTTTACAACTGTTTTTAATTGCGTTTTAAAAGTTTCAATGTCAAAGTATTGCAAGTTTAATCATTTAAAAAGTCGTTAATCTGCGTCATAAAAGTCGTTAAAAAAAATTTAATTGTTTCGTTTGTTTTGCGCATAATTAAGAGTTTATTTTTTATAAAAATGAGCATTTAACTTATTTCCGATACTCTCGTACAAAAATTTTATCATATTTGATAACTGCAAATTTACCTTCTTTTCGACGTCTTTTTATTTCTTTCCGAAGCTTTTTTCGCTTTTCTAAGGTTTCATTTGCGTAATCTTTATATATGAATACTCCACTGCCCTTAAGTTTTTTCGCTAAAGATAATATTTTGTTTTTTTCAAGAAAATTTAAAAGTTTGAGAATTATCGTTCGCGGCTCGTCTTTTTCTACTTGTTCTACTCAATGGGTTCTCTTAACTGCTATGTCCTCTGCAATTCACAATTGGTTTTTGAAGATACTTTTGACTATGCTAGCACAGTCATTCCATGTTTCAGAGTTAGATTAGACTACTCCGTCGATTCTAAGATTGTTCCGGCGTGATCTATTTACCAAATCTAAAGTCTTCTTTTTTAATATGCTAATTTCATCATTACATATTTGGCTCATTTGCCTTGGTTTATTTGTGAAGATTTTCTCTTGGAAGTCAAAAGTTTCTTTGATATCTCTAAAGTTTTTTTCTAAGGTTGAAGTTTTTGATTTGTTGGTGTCAATTTCGTTTTCAATATTATTTTATAATATTTGTGAATGTTGCTTTTTGGTTTTTCAAGTCGTTCAATATTTTTCATTGTAATCTGTCCTTATGTAATACACTTGCTCTAATATAATAAAATTTTCAGTTAAATTTGATATGTTTTCAGAATATGACACAATGAACACATAACCAAAAGTTTGAAATGGTTGCGAAAACAAAAATACAAGTATGTTAATTGTGGCAAAATAATATAATTATGGCAAATTTTTGGGGGAAGCTAGCAAAAACAATATGGAAAAAAAGTGTAAGATTTCAAATGGTTGTTTTTAATATGTTAAAATAATATCTATAATGCTTTTCTAATAATAACATTTTACAGACTAAGGATAAGATTTACTTATTATATTAAATTTTAGTTATATTAGAAAAAGTACATTGCCCATACCCTAACAACTGTGCAATCACAATCAATTTAAAATAATTATTTCTCATATTAAATAAAAAAAAAATAGAATATTTGATTTTCAAATTGTTTATAAAAATTATGTAGAAGGAATTGTCCTTCTTATATTTTTTTCAGAAAAAAAAACATCTTCCATATTTTGTAACACTTGGAGAAGTATAGAAATAGTTGTAACCCGAGTAGCAAACAATATTGGCGTAATATTGGCACAACTTTTTTGGTTTGTTTCATTTTCTTAAGTCTGGTCCGTGTCAACGTCACGGAAGTTTTTTAATAAAGGAAGTATCCAGAAGTTTCTAGAAGTTTCCAGAAGCATACAGAAGTTTCCAGAAAAAGCATCTGGAAGCATCCAGAAGTATCCAAAAACGTTCAGAAGCATTTAGATACATCCAGAAGCTTCCAAAAGCATCGAAAAGAAGCAACTAGAATCTTCCAGAACAAGTTCACACAGATTCATTTTACTATATAAGAGACAAGTAAACCGATATGTAATTCAGTCAGTATATGGAAGTCAATCAGTCAGTATTATGAAGACAGTTTATCTAAGTGAGTTTTATTAAAGTGTTTAATCAAAGAACATCAATACAAGAAGTGAAATACAACAAGTGTTACATCAATACAGTCCACATCCAACCAAGACGTTGTGTTCCACAGAGCATTATTTTATCATCACAATTTATTTCACTAAAGAAACAGAAGAAAAGACTCCTGTTTGCTACATCTCATAATGACTGGAATGTGCAGAAATGGCGAATTGTTCTGTTCAGTGATGAATCGAAGTTCAACATCATTGGGAGCGATGGCAT